AGCCAGAACATAAAGCAGAATTTGGTGATGATTCTGTTGTTAGAACATATCCTATACATTGTTTCCCTCCATCTCTGTTTTTAGGGACTCTAAGTATTCTTAAATTTGATGATACAACAAAATGTTTCTTGGGTACTTGACAGACTTTCTCATTCATTCTGAAATAGGTGAATCCACTTTTACAATCAGGCACATCTTCCTTACATGTACCATCATCCAGTAAATAGGGTGGTATACATTTAGTGCAGATAGTCTCATTTTTGTAATCTAGTGCCATTTGTTGGCAATTTGCAATAGTTATTGTTGTACCTGTGGATGTACAAGCAGCTCCAAGCATTCCATTGCTGCCTGGAACAATGTTGTCAACTCTGTAGTAAGTATCACAGCCTAAACATTGGCAATTTGGTGTTGACTTAAAAAAAGCTACATTCCATTTGATATTGCAATTGTCTACATTTATTGAATCGCAAACAGATGGTGGAGATTGGCAATCTATACCAGTTTTTCCATTTGAACAAGCAATGCAATAAATTATTGATCCTTCAGAAATGCATTCACTACAGCCAACTGGACAAGGTAAACAAAGGCCAGAGGAAAAGTATGATCCAACAGCACAGGCTAAGCACTTAACTGGTGAAAGGCTTGACCATCCTGAGCAAAATTCTCCAATTTCTAGAAAATAAATTTATGACTTAGTTAGTGAATTACTACAATACTTATACAAACTAAGGCAACTTGTGTTGTTTAAAAAAGTTTTAGTAAAGCCAGTTTTACAGCTATTAATGCTTAAACTGCCTGTATTTACTCCAGAACATTGAAGGGCATTGGGAAACTTTTCTGAGCAGCCTACAATTTAAATTAAGTAAATTTTAAAACTTTTTTGTATAAATATATTTTTAAGTAACACCTCACACCTGTACACTTTTGAAAAGGTTTAAATTCAGAAGCAGGTTCTTGAAATACTGTACCAATATTAAAATCAGTCTGATCTCCAATACATTGATTTCTTTTACATCTACATTTATAATTTGGAGCGGTGCCAAATCTTTCAAAATATTTACATTGAGGTCTGGCAATACTACAATCTGTATTTTTTAAATAAAAAAATTTTGACTTGTTTGATTAATTGGCAATATTGAACTAGTACCATAACATCCTTTTGATACTACTCCATCTACTTCTATGACAACCCACTGACTATTTCCAATGCATGTTCTACATTCAACATCAGTGCCTCCACTATTCAATTGACATTCATTACAATTATATCCACAATTTCGGCATAAACCAACATGTGGCCCAGTAGGAATTAGTATTCTTCCAACAGGACAGGGTGGAGGAGGTATTTTCAAAGCCATATCATTAGTGCTCCCTAAAACATGTGGCTCAATATATTCATTAACAATATCATAATCAAATGATACATCATCAGAGGAATGAACACTTTCATCAAGAATAGTGCTAAAGGATGTATCACTGACAGGGCGATCTTCACAGGTTCCAGTTTTGAAAGAGAACTTTCCAGTTGTAGAATTTGTACATGGTGATCGTATACATTTTATTTCATTGGCTATCACCTCACAATAGTCACAATTTTCAATTGAACAAGCCACACAAGATTCAATAATGCTGGATGAATTTCCATAATTGGAAGCAAACCCTTCACTACATTGCAGACATGTTAACCCAGCTGTTCTTTTCTTACAGTAATCACAACCAACTGGACATGAAATACAAATACCACTTTCATCATCATATGTATATGTTTTTTGACACATAGAAGCATAGCAAATTGGAGTTTTTGCTGTATTCTTTTCAAAGTAGCATTTATCACAATTATTAGGGCAAGCTATAAGTATGGTATAGCAGAAATGAAACCATTTAAAATAAAATTAGACCTATGCATATATACCTGCACAAGATCCATCACTCCTTCGTGTCCATGATTTTCCATTCTCTTTTTCAGTACAAGAATGAACAAAATTTGTTCCAGTACATTCTGTGCGAAAGTTGGCAGAATTCCAAGTGCACTCATTACATTTATCAGGACACTTTGAACAAAGATTGTTTGAATTTCTAGTATATTTTGGTTTGCATTTGTCAGCCTTACAAATTAGATTGCCTGAAGAGACTTCACACTCCAAACAGTTATCAGGACATTTGTCACATGCTTTCGCAGCAAGAATTGTGTAGTCATCCATACACTTTGAACATTTTACAGCATTGTTAGTTTCCAGACAAGAATGGCAATTTCTTGGACAGGAGGAGCACGAATCATCTTTTTTATAATAGCCAATGTTACATTTTATGCATTTATTAGCATTATCGTGGGCTTCACATTCTAAGCAGGCAGAGTGGATGGAGCTGCACTTTACACACTTTTTAGATGTTGTCAGAGCATATGATTTGGAGATGCATTTAGTACAAGAATCTTTATTAGAACACTTAAAGCAGCCAGTCATTGATGTAGAACATAGATTACAAGTTGTTATATTGTTCTTAGTTATTTTATATGCATTACTGTCACAAGTAGTGCAATTAATTCCTTTACTTTTATGGTATATACAGGATTTACAGAATGATCCACAAGCTTAATTTGAAAGAAAAAAAAGTTAAAAAAAAACTAATAAATACAATTGTGAATACTAAAATCACTTAAGAACTTACCTATACAGTTCTTACTTGTTACAGTATATCCTGCTTTGCAGACTTCACATTGAACTCTAAAAGAATTTGTAAGCCAACTGCATTTTTCACAGTTGTGAGGGCAGGGAAGACAATCATTTGAGTTTCTTCTTAGAGCAAAATTTGCTGCACAATCTTGACATTTGTCAATAGAATCACACTTTTTACAGCCAGGTAAACATTCTAAAAGTGATAAAAGTGATTAGAAGTAAATTTAAATCAGGTTAAATAATTCTTTTAAAAAAAATTTACTATAGCATTTTCCTTGTTTCATAAAGTAATTGTTGATGCACTTTTCACAAAGAGTTGCATCATCTGGATTACTTGTATCAGATTTTAATTTACAGAATCCAAGTACACAAAAATCTGGACAATCTGAAATCAGTTTAATTGTATAATGTTTCTAAAAATGGAGAAAAAAGCTAACTATAACAGCTTAATCTGCCAAGTGAATGAATTGTTCCACTTTGACAAACTCCACAAGATTGTACCCTGTTAGTTGTTCGCCCTGGTTTACAATTTGAAATTGCATTCTTTGATAAAGCAGCTGAGTTATTATCTAAAAGAAAACAATATCTAGTTGAAATGAGAAAATGAAGGTTAATGTTTAATTTTCTATGGAATTACTTGCAAAACACAATGTTATAAGAAGAAATATTTGGTTATCCATTAGGACAGGTAAGTTATTTCTCTTTTCACTGGACACAATCTAAGTTGTTTTAACAAAAATCAGGGAATATATACTCAGAAAACAAATTAGCATATTGTTTTGAATGGAATTACTTCAATTATTCCAAGAATTCTATTTATCGGCTAAGCTGGAAACTATTAACATTTAAAAAAGAACGCCAACAAACAGTAAAGATATAGGCCTATAATCCTGTAAATGTTCTTTTGCTCAAGAGATATTCACTATTTTTTACTATTCTTTTTATTCATTTTTTCCCTTTTATCAAAAGAAAAAAAAATTTTATCAAGTGTGTCGACAAAATGTTTTAATAATCTTAAAATATGTACATTGTCACACAAAAAGTCATTGAACTCTAGGCATTTTTATTGATGTTATTGATCTTGTACAAGATGGACGAATATCGTATTACTAATTCAACGATTGTATAACTAAGAGACTTTGCAAATCTTTTTATTGTCTAAAGTAATACTAAAAAAATATTTTTTTATCCTATCCTACAAATAATTTTGTTTTGTTTTTGTAAACAAGTCTAGTAACAAAGTGTATTCTTTCTTTGAATAATATTTTATCATTTGACCAGGCAATAACCCAACATCAATTATATTGATCAGAGGCTCTGAAAACCAGATCAATGATTTATAGTAGTCGGTAATGGTGGGCAAAAAGATTTCATTACCTTGTCCTTTGTGACTCCAGGCTTTTTTTGAGCCACAATCTATGTAAGTTGATATTAAATTGCAATTTATGAGTAAGCATATGAAACCGAACCCTGGTTTAACCTGTACCCAGCTTAACTGTACCCACTAGAGGGTTAAACCTAGCTCAGGTTAAAACATACCTGGGTTAAATTGTATAAAAAAGGTCTAATAAATTGTTTAGTTTAGTGCTCTACAAACTGTTTAGATAATCATAAGTCATAGAACTTTTAAACTACAAATCATTAAACTTTATGCTGTTTTACTAGTGTCTTTAATCTAGTACAAGTTAAATGAGAATCTTATTGATAATTCAAAGAATGTGTACCTAATATACAACTGTAAATCTTTTTTTTGTCTAAAACAATATTGATGATATAGGTACTTTTAAGTATATTAAGAGTGGTAGACTCAAACTGTCAAGTGATCAATTAATTATAGCCATCCAATACTTATTCTTTGATTTGCCAAAAGTACTTTTTAAAAATAAATTTAGAATTTCAGTTTTAATATTCAGGATTTATATCTAGAATCTCTCTTAATGATGATTTCTCTCAGTTTTTATGTTTGTTTGAGATCTTGATGTTTTATTTTTACATATATTTTGCTTGGGGTAAGATTTTAGTTTGGAAATGGGCCACGGCAAATACTCAAACAATTAATTTGTAACGAGGTAAGTTCGAACTTAGGCTTAGGTATAAAGAAATATTTGAAACTGTGCATACTCCATGAGAATTGGCTATTTAGTAAATAGCAAATGTGACCTTGACCTTACATTTCAAAACAATTTATCAATTTACAATATCTTGATTTCAAATTTAGCTTAATATTCTATAGTAATACTAGACCTGTTCACTAAGGGAGTTGATTCAGGACTGAATGACCATAGAGCCATCTGGAAATGTTCTGTTAAAAATAAGAGTGTTCAATGTCGAGTTTGTTTTAAAGTTTTGGAAGATGACTTCAATCCTTCACCTATGGTTTTTAGCAAAACTGCAAGTCGAATGCAATTTTTTAATATCAATAAATAATATCTTTATAGGATGTGAAAATCTAGAAAAAAAATATATTATAAAAGTCAATAAAAACATTTTTTCATTAAAATTAGAATTGTATTTATTGTTATTAAAATTCAGTAATTTTTAACTTTTGTATAGAATTTTTACACAATTATGATTAAATCATTGTCTATTTGTTTAAAAACTAAAGAAATTTCTGTGTTTGTTCAAATTCAAATGTTCAATTTTGTGCACTTAGATATAATGATATATTAATACTTAGACTTAAAATATACCTGAACATTAGAAAGATTTCTATTTTGTAGGAATTGTAATGGTGGAATTATAGAAAGATTTTTATTCAGAGAGTTAGCTTTTAGTACTTTAGAAAGAACTCTATTTCGTAACAAATAGACTTTTTGACTGTAACAGATGTTGGCTACTTGGGAATTAACAAAGGAACAAAGAACATGGAAAAAATGCAGGTCAAACACCAGACGCTGATGAGGCACCTTCATTTAATTTACACCAACCAACATGAATTTTTTCCAAAGCATTTGAAGATGATTCCAATATTTATTTATTTGCTCCATATAGAATCTCCTAAATTATTTCCAAAAAAAAGAGTATTCTAAGATTTGTTTGTTGGCCTATTGCATCGCCTAAAATATTTCCAATTTGTGAACTGAATCCACAATTAGTCAGTTCCAAAAATGTGATGTATTGACAATATTTGTTTATGTTATAGAATGAATGTCTATCAACAAAATTACCAAGATTATTGTTGAGTATGGATAATTCATTGAGATATTTTTGTTGACCAATTGCATTAGCTTAAATATTTCCAATATTTGAGTTATTTCCACAATTTTCAATATCTATCAATTGATTAAGATATTTCTTTGTGCCAATTCAAACTTGATATATTTGGGCAATTGTTCACCAAGTGTGATAAAATATATTTCTAACTTTCATCACCAAATTCATTAACCATAAATACAAAATTTTGAGTTTATCTTGTTGGTTAATAATTATATCAGAAATGATACCTGCTTCCTCTGAAGTAAATCAACATTTTCCAAAACATACGCTACTAAAATGTCAACATTCACAAGCATTCCTTTTGAGATATAAAACTCATAGAGATTTATAAAAATAACTAATTCTAAAAAGTTCTGTCTACACAATAAACTATTAAAATATTGGCAGTTATTGAAGAAAATCTACGATCTCTTACATTAAGCCTTGATTGTTTCTTACAATTTTGTTTTATCTTCTTCAATAAATTCTGAATGAATGGATCACCAAATTAACTTTCAGAGATTGCCAACTTTTGATGTAAATCCACAATTTGACAAATTTAGTACCAAAATATTCTGACAGTTTTCTTTAATATTTTCAAATAAACAAATTTCTACACCATTTTCCAAGCAACTATCCTTTAAACATAGCTCTTGTAGTTGATGTTGTTTACCAGTAGTTTGTCTAAAAATACTGCCAATTTGACAAGTAAATCCACAATTAGCAAAGTTAAGTACAACAACATTCATACAATTCATAGTTTTACATTTTGCTCTTTGTTGTATTGTAATTGTAGGAATTTCTGCTTCTTCTGAACAGTATTCGTCATTTCCAATCATTTATCAACTCACCAGAGTACTTACACTAATAGAAACTTTCAAGTTTGTCCACAAGTAGTCTTAATAAATGTAATTTTGGTGGAAATTGTTCAATGTAATGCCAGTATTTCATTTAAAGAATATATATTGAGTAAATAAGTTTCTAGTTCTAAATAAGCAAGTTTAAACAACCAGTTAACCATTAAAGAACTGAACTGCCAAACTGAGGAAATGTATTTCCTTTTATACATTTATGAAAGCTTGGGTTTATTTGATCAAAGGATTATGAAGTTGAAATGTGACAGTCTCATAATGCACATAAAACAAAAATATGAAAAACTATTACATGACTTATGGCTAGCATGTGTCACTGCAAAAAGAAGCTTGCCTCTTCAGCATCTCTTTTTGAATAAGATGTAACAAGTTTGACATGCATTTTTTCTATATTGTTTGTCCCTTTGTTAATTCCATAGTGGTACCATCTTAACAGATGGTCAAAGAATCTATTTCCTATGAAATAAAGGTCTTAAAGATCTGGAATCTAATTCTACTAAATAAAAGTCTTTCTCAAGCTCCAAGGTATAAAAGAGTGTGTATATGTCAGAATGGTGTGAGAAAACAATGAACATTTCAAATATAATTTAGACGGAATCATCCATAATTCTGTGATACAAGTGAAAAATAGATCTTGTAAATTCTATATCAAGAGAGTTGAGTTAGAGTATTTAATCTCTAATATTTTGTTATACATTTGACAAAAATGTCAACAATTGAACTAAAAGTAGAGGATAACAAAATATGTTTGAAAGTGTGGTGTAATTGAGTAAATAATTACAAAACAGTTTCTTCTTAATTAATCTCTTGTGATTTGAAGGAAGTAACTAATTTTGGAGAAAATGTTTGTTATCTGTGATATTCAAATTTTTCTCTGATTGATCTAAATTTTAATAGTTTTATATCATTATCTTTGGCTGTTTATAAGACCATTAACTTTTCACAAAATATGGACATTTCACAGAGCATTTATCCTTTTTTTCCTTATATGGTTTATTAGTTTAATCATTTGGATATATCTATATTTTTGATCATTTAGTACTGTAATACCAAAGTTTACTATTACATTTTAAAATTCTTAGAGCAATAACCATTTTTACATTCGATATGTCAATGACAATGCTGTTGCTAAGCATTCATTTAAAATAGTATTGAGTTAAGTCTATGGCTTTCTAAAACCTCATTTTATAAGAACTGAATTGAAAATCTATATTGATTATCATGATATTTAGAATATTCTATCTTCTTCTTCTCAACCTTTCTCCAATATCTTCTGAAAGGAGTGTTTTAACAATAAATAATGTATTGTGCGCACTTGTGATGAAATCTACAAAAATAGATACAAGGATATTTTCACTTGTTCTTTTTACTTGTGTAGGTAAATTATAAATTTTTTGTTTTAAGATTTGCTATTAATAACTATCATTGAAATCAGAGAAATCTCTGTGAATTCATCACCAAAATCATTGACATATGGAATAATCTATAAGAGTTATTATTTCCAATCATTTTTCTCAATTGACTTTGTTCTTGTTTTGTTGAACAGCAAGGATGTCATGGAAAACGTCCACAAATTTATGGAAAACGTCCACAACCACTACAAATATCTTTAAAAGAGAAAAAGTGTAATTCTTAGGTAAATGTATATTATAAATGAATATTTAAATAAAGTTATTGATAAATTTTTATGTACACCAGAACTTATCAAACTTATGAAAATGTATTTAGCAACTAATTGTAAAATGTTACATTACAAGAAAAGTAAAGTAAACAGTGCTAGAAACTAACATTTTAAACTTCAAAAATCACACATTATGGATGATAAATTGAACAACAAAGTTGCAGTAGTTGAGAAACATTCATTTCAGATCTTTCAAAACTTTCCCAAGCTTCAAAGATTTTTTTTTGTAGATGCTTATAAGTTTTTCTCTGATTTCTGCAGATTTTCTTTTCAGATAGAAGCTTTTCAAATACATTGATTAGATCTGCTTCATGTTTCAACTTTTGAACAATTGTGTAGAATGATGTTCTATTCCCAAAAGATGAGTTAAATTTTTGATGGAAGCCTTCCAGATCATTGTTTGTGCGAATTGCTCTTTTGAAACATGACCAAGCTGATGGAGGCCAAATTGTACTATCAATCCATGTATTTTGAATGTAAGAAATCAGTTGAGATAACTCATTACATTCTTGCAGATAATCTTTTATACTTTCAAATTGATGTTTGATGTGATCTGATGGTAGAAATGGTAGAGAGAGGAGTAGTCTCATTGCAAACCACTCTCCTGTGCGATTTTTGTGACAGTCTCATAATTTGCATGTAACAAATATATGAAAAACCATTATATAACACATATAGAATATAATCTTCAGATTAAGGCCAAATGGCCAACATGCATCTTTGACATGCATCTTTTCTATGTTCTTTGTTCCTTTGTTAATTCCATAGTGGCTTCATCTAATATTGGAAAAGAGTCTATTTCCTACAAAATAGTATTCTTTCTAAAGTTCTAAAATCTAATTCTAGATTCTACAAAATAAAAGTTTTTCTAATGTTCCATTATTCTAATTGCTACAAAATAGAAGTTATTCTAAAGTTCCTTTATATCTAATGTCCAAATAGCAACATGTTCTTATATCTAAGTTTACAACAATGTAAATCTACTGAGGCAAGAAATCTAACCAATCAAGCATTCCTCCATTTATTTTTACAGTTCATGCTATTACCGCATTTACAATTTTGATTACAACTTTTTCCAGATTTTTTACAACCACAGTTACCATGTTTACAAAAGGTTTTACAACGGCAAGAGGTCGGTTTGGTAATATTTTTTGGATGACTCTGTTCAGGAAACATGACATCTGATCTTTTTAAACCACTGCTTTCATCTCTGGAGAATGTGTTTGGTAGCCTGAAAAACATGAAATATTGTTTTTTGATATTACTGTCTTCGCCAATGGCTTTCATAGATGAATCTGTGAAAATAAGTAGCTTTGTTGGAAAAGAGTTGTCAATGACCTCGATAATAGAACCATTTTGATAGACTACTGTGCCAATGTGTCTGCAGTCACAGCCATCTTGTTCAAATTTGAAA